TTAGAAGAACTGTAAAGGTATTATGGTTACTCGTTTATCTAATTACTCGTATATCGGTAAGTACCCAAATGTGAGTACTTGTACTTGGTCTGTTAAAAGTGGTATCGGTGCATCCCTAATTTGAACAAGTTTATGATCAAAGTGCTTACAGCCATCACTGCTATCATTTATCATTCTATCATTTCAAAACATTCATTAATCACAGAATCATTTCGCAGTCACTCAATAGACTATTTTTAACTCTGTTCTCCCTCATTCTAAAGGAAAAGCAAGAAGAAGCGTGAGCGCTCACCCTCCTCATCATCCTCCTCCTCCTCCTCTCCCTCTCCTCATCCATACAGAGGAAAAGAGTACCATCCGGAGGAGCACATGGAAGGAGGAGGGGGTTTTAACAAGGCCCGCCTGGGGTCAAGGGAGTTTCCAGGACACATGGAGCGCGGCCCTCGGGACTATGAGGGACACATGGACAGGGGTTATGAGAGGGGAAGAGGAGGATACGACCGAGGAGGATATGACAGGGGTCGTGGGGGTTACGATCGGGGATTTGTAAGTGTTCTGCAGTTAATAGGACTTCTTGATCATTGATGAGTTGCAGATGGAATTTATTACTGCTTAATGTCGAGCTTTGTTCCTCGCTGGCTTCGTTTCCAATCCTGAGTGTTTTAATTTTCAGAGAAAGAGTCTGATGCTAGCATGTTGCTAAACTAACCTAATTTGAAATGTTGTCTTGGTTGGCAGCTCACTGTAGGATGAAATCAATAACATTTTCCCTTATTCTCTTGTTAATTTGGTTTTAATGGTAAGTGTTTTAATAAAAAAACATGTCTAATTTGATTCATAACATAATATTTAAAACTAACAAAAATAGTGACCAATGTAATTTTTTTCCATATTTTTTTTTTTTTTTTGGATTCTGTGTTTCATGATTTAGTACAAATATATGCGTAAAAATGATATAATCTTTTAAAGTGTAATAAAAATAAATTGGCAGAAGTTTACTGTTTAAATTAAATCATGGATGAAAACTGTATGTAAACAATAGTTTTAATACATTTTATCATTACTTCGAGAAGTACAATAATAATATTTGTGAAATGCAGACATGGTAGTCTTTTTGCTGGTTTAAATCGGACATTACACTGTCGAGTACTTGATTTTGATTGGTCAATCCTGCCATCCATGTTATTCCCTGACAACAACCAACAAACAATGTTTTCAATCATAAAACGGGCTCATCCGGGTTACTGAAGTCAACGCCACTGCACGCTTGCTAGGAACGGTTTTTTTTTTTTTTTTTGCGACTATGGTTTTGTACACTGTTAGACAGTGTTGTAGTCGAGACCACCTCACTCGAGTCCGAGTCGACACCGAGACCAGAGAGAGTCGAGTCCGAGTCAAGACCGAGTCCATAGAGAGTCGAGTCCGAGACCAGAGACGGTCGAGTCCGAGTCGAGACCAAGACCAGTGAGGGTTGATTACCTAATTTACTTTTATTTACTTAGAGAAACCCTTTTTTTTTTTTTTTTTACTGAATTTACTTAGTTTAAAAAATATGACCAGTTTAGGGTAAAAAGACCAAATAGTAGGTGGTGTTAAAAGTAATTTTATTACAATTTGTCATGCGCAGTTGCGCACTAGAAAATCACCAATCACTGGGCGTGTCAATCAATTTAAAGAAATATTTTATTAACATACATTAATAATCATGAAAAATATTTTTAATTGAACTCGAGTGGACTCGGGAATAATTCCGAGTCCTAAAAAAAAAATGTTCGAGTACGAGTCAATTCCGAGTCCAAATGGACACGAGTCCATGACGAGACCAAGACCATTAAAATATGGTCTCGAAACCGAGTCCGAGTCTTGAGTACTACAACACTGCTGTTAGATTATAATATAACACGGGTATGATTTTAAAACCGTTTAATCTGAAACCAACATCTTAATCCTCATAATTATTTATTTAGTGAAATCTGTCTAATAAATAGTATGACTGTACTGTATTAAATGTCCGTCTAGTTTGAACTTGGCATGCTAACAACTTCTCTCTGCGGAAGCAAGTCATCTTGATCACCCTGTCAGGGTTTATTCAGGCTAGATGTACAATATCCCTTACTTATTTCATAGCACAATTCAACTAAATGTATGCAGAACTTCTTTTGGTTTATTAATCCAAACTCCACGATTTTGTAATTCCGCCTTCTTTTGTATTTGTGGCACAATGACCCTGAAGTAGTTTTCTCATATATCTTAGACATCTCAGTTGATCTGTGCTTCTCTTGTATTTGCAGCCCAGAATGAGAGGAAGAGGATGGAACCGAGGAAATTACCCTGGCAACAACACCAATAACAACCCTCCAATAATGGGCGGTCCTTCACGCCCCCCGGAGGAAGAGTGGGACCCCGAATACACCCCCAAGAGTCGGAAGTACTTCCAGGTGTGATTACTAGCTTTGATCTCAGATACACGCGCCCCCCCCCCTAAACTTTACGCTAAAAACAAAAACTGGTGGTTGGTTGCTTCGCATGTCACTCAGACAGTCTCTTCCTGTATAAGTGCGCAATTTTGGGACAGAATAGGCTGCATGGTGGCCAATAGGAGAGTTTCAATTTACTTCTCTCTCGTCTAACTGCAGCATGACGACCGGGACAAGGAAGGGGAGATGAAGTGGGTGGACACTCGGGGGCGCGGCAGAGGCAATTTCCCCCGCAGCAGGGGCACCTTCATTATTCGCAAAAGCAGCGGCGGCAGCCCCAAGTGGACCCACGACATGTTCCAGGGCAACGCTGAAGAGGGAGAATTGGCAGACGACAGCGCAGAGCACAAAGATGACGAAAAGTCTGGCGAAAGCACTGCTTCCAAGCCATAGACGGATCAGCAACCATTTGTGTCTGTTCTCCTCTACAGTCTCTAACTCAACGAGAGCCCTCGTGAGAAATGCATCGTCGTGTGTTCAGGTGTCGGACTGCGAAGCCCCATACGGTAGAGCCATGTCGTTTATAGCATCACACAATCTGCTACTTTTTGTCAGTTTTCACGTTTTTCGTTTGTTTTCGAGGTTGTGGGGGAGGGTGATGATTTGAAGGGAAAAAATTCAGTCATTCATAATTGATTTTCATTTAAAAAGTGCAATAAAACAATCTGTGCACTTGTGCCTTAGATTTAACTGTAGTTTTATGATTCCTTTTTTTATTTTGATCATTTCTGCCGGTAGATTGCCCCCTTTATATGTTTGGAATTGCATGTAAATTCATTCATTTAAATTTCTTCCCATTTTATAATGTCATTGGTGTACGGTTCAGTCTTATTGGAGCATATCCCTTGCGGACCAATACACTGTGTACTGGGGCCGATTTTCTCCAGAAAAGTGTCTGTACAGATTAAGATTGTCCTTGTCCTAACAAATGGATTCTCAACTATATTTAACGTCCAAATTAGTTCATTTTCTTCCCTTAAATGATGCCACTAATGATTTAAAAAAATAAATAGTCTATTACTTTGTGAAGTTTAAAAAAAAAATTGTTTTCTTTTTCTATTTTGAGCAAAAAAATCTTGTCGGTTTTAGATCATTTATCTGATTTTAAAGTGTAGATAATAATAGAACATGCAAGACGAAGCTTGTAATGATGCATTTATTGCATTGTGTTTAAACTATCAACCCAAATGTAAACGAGCTCATGCTGCATGTCTTTAGATCATGTGGTTTTTCTTCCATTGATCGCTGTTTGCTGCACTGTTCAGTTGTGTTGTAAGGATACTCGGGGGACTTGACTGCTTTCTTTAATCCTGCTTTGTGATGACATTATACTGTAACGCTGTGACGTTCTGTTAACATTTACAAACTGATAATTCAGTGCTTTCAGTCTCCATGGTGAATTTGAAATAAAGCCCGTCCTCTGTTTTACACGTTATCTTTTCTTTCGAGTTGCCTTGGTCTTGTAAGACACATCGGTTATAACAGCTGCTCTCGACAGCTGGTGCCTTTTAGTGAAGAGCCTTTATGATGAGGTTCAGCTGTAAGTTCTAGTTACACGATATCATGTGAGCGTTTGGTGATTAGAATCTCTTGTTGCAGTGCAATAGTTACTGTTTAGGGGTTTTTTTACATTTTAAGTGTCAGGATATCCATTCATGCCCCTGCAGAGTTTCGTTCTAACCTGCTGGAACACATCTGCCTGGAAGTTAATTCGGTGGTTCGGGTGTGTTTGATTAGGATTGGAGCTAAACTCTGGAAGAAGGTTGCCTTTCAGATGCAGGATTGGACACCCCGGATTTGCAGCAATTATATTGCTTTTAAAGGAATAGTTCAGCCAAATATGAAAATTCTGTCATTTACTCACCCTCAAGTCGTTCCAAACCCATAAGACTTTTGTTCATCTTCAAAGGAAGATCTTTTTGATGAAATTTGAAGGATTTTTGTCCATAAATTGACAGCTACGCAACTGACACTTTGAAGCTTCAAAACATTTGTCAGAATAAACCTCATTGGTTCCTGCAGAAGCTCAAACGTGCTGCGTAACACGATAATAAACCATGAGTCTTACCGGTTTGGAACGACAGAGTAATTGGATGAATTTTCATTTTTTTGAGTGAACTATCCCTTTAAGATTCTTAATTAGTTTTTTTGTTTTTCTGTACATATTCACTTGCAAAGAACATTGATTTCATTATGGTGCTAAACTTACTGCAGCTGAATGAACGGAAAAAATCTTCTTCTTTTTTTTTGTTAAAGTGCTTCCTATTATTTCTTCCTGACAAAATGTATTATTTAATCTTTTAAATTTGTCTAATGCGTTAAATGATGCGACTACTGTTCTTATTACCTTCTAATTATTTATTGTATCCTTTAAGATGGAAGAGTAGGGATATAGAAAAATTAACACATTTTCCATATATTTAGCGTTATGGAAGGTGAAGGGTGCATCTTCCACCATGTGTGAAGATTGGGTGAAAATATTTGTTTTGGTTTTTTATTTAAAAAATACATAAAGTATATATATACACAAACATTTAAGTTTTAATATCTATTTATATATAAAAATGTATTTATAGATATAAAAAAATGAAAATTGATCCATCAAAACATACAAATCATCCTTCAGAAGACATGCAGGCTTGTGAAACCAACCTCAAAACAGACGTATGCAAATCAAACACTCAATCCTTCTCTTCTTAAAGGTAAATCCGTTGGACAGATAAATGTCCTGTGGCGTATTTGCATGTGGTGATGGAAAAAAAAAAGTTCTCTATAGCAAAAGTATGGTCTTCCCCTGAGAAACTTTGAGTTTGCTTACAAAACCATTGAATTTTTTTTTTCTTACCTCATATTTCAATCATTTTTTAATATTTCAAAGTTTCTCAAGAGAATATAAACGTTTTACCAGAGAAAAAGCATTGAAATGTAATCTAGTTGTTTTGTAACATCATGTAGGGTTCTCTGTATGCACGAAACAACCATCCTGAAGGTAAAACACACTACTAGTGATAGTGTACTCGACCCAGTGTGCCTGTTCCGGTGACGAGTATATCCGGCTGTCCGTTCCTCCAGATCTCCCTGACGATTCGTTCTCTCTCCTCCAGTCGTCTGGCTCTCTCCAGCTCTTCTGCTGAAGCGAACACATTCATGCTGTTCAGCTGGGTCTGATCGCTCAAGGGACTGACGGTGAGCACTGGGACTTCTAGGTCCTCGTCGTCTCCTGCCTCACTGTCCTCCTCTTCCTTGTCTCCCTCATCCTCGCTGGACTCTTTTAGCCGTCTCTTGTCCGGTGTGGAGGGCGTCTTTGTCTTCGAGTGCGATCGGCAGGTGATGCCCAGCATGAGGAGGACCAGAGCCAGCAGAAGACCTGAACACACACCCAACATGAAGTACAGCGCGAAGCTCTCCATGTTCACTGGAGGGAAATTGTCAAGTCATAAGTGAGCACAAAACTCAAAATAAAAATATGAATGTATTAATTTACATACACCACTGTTCAGAAGTTAAAGGTTCATTATGTTTATGAAATAAGTCTCTTTTATGGCTGCATTTATTTGATCAAACACAGTATCAACAGTAGGCCTATAACAGAAATATTTTCAGAGAAATGTATTCTCTTTTAATAAATCCTTCAGAAATCATTCTAACATGCTTATGATGAAGAGTAAAGTTATTGTAATGTGGTTTGTAGGTTTACTAGACTGACTTGACACTAAAGAAAAATCTTAAACCCCAAAGAAAAAGAGAAAGAAGTCTTTAGGAACGTTTAAGCCATGCCTCATGAAGTCAGAGGTGTGAAGCCAAATCAAACAGAACACTAAAGTCTAAGGAATGGCTGGTTATTTTGTTCTTCAGGTCAGAAATGCAAAGGGGCATAAAGTTCAGTAAAACCGATCCAAATCTTTGTTTAGCCAGGTGCCTTTCAGCACTTGAGTTCTTAACCTGGACATTAATGAGCCATTTTTGTAGCTCTTTTACCTTTTATATGTGCGTAAGTGGCCATGCTGTTACTCAGCAGCTCCATGTCTTTCCTAATGGGGTTCATGATGGCTTCTTTTTTGCTTTCTTCTCTACTTCAGCCACTGTGGGGGGAAAAAATAGATATTCTTAAGAGAGAGAAAAAACATTTAATTGTTGTGTAGGCCATTTTTATTTATAAACACGTTTAGTTATACTGGTTAAAACACGTATTTATCTTCTGTGGAAGTCTCTGGACCCAAAAAAAAATTCGTCCAATCATCGCAGTTCAAATGCAATGTTACGATGTCCTACCTGCCTGTCAATATGTATTTCCATACCTCACAAATAGTCACAAACACACAATAGCCACCTTCTACAGTTCCTCCTGAACCACGCCATGTCATAACCATTTTTTTTTCTTCACATAAACATACTGACTGAACATTAAAGGCCATAACCGTAATTGCGAGATGGCAACCCGTGACGCACTACTCGCAGCGGTTCACGTCCTCGCGCGTTTCAATGTCAGCGCGTAGAAATGAATTTGCAGCAGTCAGGTGATACAGGTCAGTGATCTTCAAGTTGTTTACATTTCATTATTATCATAATGGTAACGTTATGTGCTTTGAAACATGAGGTAATATAAAAACACCATCTCGTGAGTCATGACTCGTTGCAGACTGCTGTAACGCGTTGTGTTTTGAAGGTGTCATGGCTTCGCTGAAGGGAGGGTGGGATCTCATGCTTTTAAAGCTAACTCGCTATTGCTAGCCTCTCCGAAACTGGCAACCAATTGAAGAAAGAATCCTATTCAAACGTAAATGTGTTGTGGCTGGTTTGCCTCCATGTTCCTATTCTGTTTCTATGGTTTTCTGGGTTGTTCCTGTTGTTGTTTCCATGTTTTGTGTGGTTGCTATGATGATTTTTAGTTAGCCTATCATTCGTGTTATTAGCCCAAACAGTGTTGAGTTGCGTGCAAAAGTTTACTATAAAAAAATAAATAAATAAATGTTTTAATACTTATACTTGGATGCTTTAGTATCACAAGGACAACTGAAACAACATGGCACGCCATCCTTAATTAGGAAAAGACGCTCTAACTTGTTTATTTTGGCCCCTAAGGCTGAAATTGCACATTAAGGACTGCTATTAAGGATCATTTTATCATCTCTTTCCACACAGGTCATTTGTTACATGCTGTTGTCTTGCATTGACCCATGACTCCCTCTTTGCTCCCAGACAGACTTTCCGATTTTTCCCACAGGAAACCGAGATTTTATGAAGTTCACATGCTGCTCGGGGTCTGCGTGGGACTCTTCCCTGGGAAACTGGGATTGATCCAGCTTGTGTCATTCTCTCCAAGAAGGAAAAGAGGAGGAGGGGGAGTCTTAAAGCTGAACATCTGGAGTTCCCAAGCCGTCATGTGCCGGAGCCACACGAGTCCTGGATGTGTGTTGCTTGGTGAGAAACTCCTCCGGCCCAAGCGAGGAAGCGATAAAAAGCATCAGACTATAAATGCGTTGACTCCCTGTGTGCGTCCACACCATAAAACCCTCAGTCACTGAGACCATGCCGAGATCACGGAAGAGGTGCCATGATATTGTCTTCCTGTTTGTTTCCTCTTGGGGCCTGTAATTACAGCAAACTGTAATCTACGCCATCAGAGCCCAAAGTCTCGGCCGCCCCGATCCCTATCTGCCACGCTCTTGGCAGAACAAGGGCAAGTACACCAGAGCGAAGCACATTATGCACACTGAGATTCTATTTTTAGCTTTGCATGAGTCAACATGCTCTACTTTTCTCCTCAGAGATGCCTAAAGAAAAGTTTTATTTGCTTTCTTATAGCTCATTAGATTTAATAAATTATTATCTCAGATGTTAATAATAATAAATAGACACAAATAAGAACATCTTTTTGCTTAAGAAAAAACAGACTCTATATCAAAATAGGATCACAACATGAACTCACTTTTCTCATTCTATTTTTTCAAGACCAAATTATAATAATCAAATTATTATAATTGTTTTTAAAATTCTATATGTTATTATATGATATGATTATATATGATTAAACATAATAATAGTTGTTGTTATACAATATTATTAATATAATTATGATGATTGTGATAATTATATTTATAATTTTCAGTATTGTTCAATATAATAGTAATAATAATTAGTAGTAGTAGTATATTGGATATTAAATTATTATATTATTTTTACAAAAAGAAGAATAACAGTAACAATATTATTATTAATAATAATACATTTAATATAATTATACAACATTATAAATCATGTTTATAATTATATAATATTATAATTATACAATAATAATGATGACGTTAATGATTGTAATAATTGTATTTTATATTATCATCAATAGTATTTTTACACATATATATATAATTAAAGTTTATGATAATTATACAATAATCAATATAATAATAAAGATGATGATGCTGATGATGATGATAATATATGTGTGTATATGTATATATATATATATATAACATTAGTAGTAGTAGTAGTTGTAGTAGTATTGTATTGAATATTACAGTTATTAAAAATGTATTATAATAATACAAGAATAATTATTATTTTAAAAACATTATTGATATGATAATAGTAATAAATAATACATTTTAATACTTTATATTAAAATAAGTAGCAAAAAATCTATTGAGCACTGAAAGAGCAACTTTTGAACAATAAAAAGTTCACAGAGAAGTGAAATGTTTAAATGCAGGGATTCTTGTCTTTGTGTCGCTCTCTGCAATCCTGTAAATCCCTCCAGAAACACAAACTACAACCCTACACATAAACAAATGACAAACAGGAACTAGGAGACCAGAAATATAAGATTACACTAAAAGCTTGTAAACATTGTTAAGTTCTGCTCCAAGTGCCAATTAGCGTGGGACGTACGCCACAAGCTCCAAAAATACACCCGTCAGAGACACAGCATACCAGACAGAGGCTCACTGGCCAGAGTGAATCACCAGCGCAGGACGAAACAGCTCTCAAACACACACATACCATCCCACACCTGTCAGACCCTTTCCCAGAAGAGCAAACCTGCAGACGGGCATGTAGCAGCAGAGGTCTCCAATCAGTAAACATACAGCATCTTCTCTTTTTTTCAATGTCACAAGATATATGTTTTTCATAGTCATATTGTTCTAAACTCAAGACACTATGGACGCTTGTTTCTGCCACGGAATAGAAAAATGTAATTGTGACTTTTTTTCTTACAATTCTTACTTTTTTTAAAGGAATTGACTGATATAAAGTTGCAATTGCGAATCATAATCTTTGAATTCGGAGAAATAAAGTCAGTCTTTTTTCCTAAGAACTTATATTTATAACTTTATATCACGCAATTCCAAAAGAAGTAAAAAAAACAGTAAAGACTGGGGGATAAAAAGTCACAATTACCTTTTTATTTTTTATATTTAGTGGCACCAAAACTTTATGTGACCAAAACAAAGCAAACAAACTAGATTTTTATATTTTCTGAACAAAATGCAAGTGGTACTTTCTCACAGCCATGGTGCTAGGATGTTGTGGGTGGTTGCTATGCAGTTGCTAGGGCATTGCTATACACAAGGTGTTGTGAGTGGTTGCTAGGGCATTGTTATGCAATTTCTAGGGTGTTGTGGATGGTTGCTAGGGCATTGCTATGCAGTTGCTAAGGTGTTGTGCCTAGTAACTAGTGTTTTTTAATGCAGGGTGTTTTGGGTAGTTGCTAGGGCATTGCTATGCAAATTGCTAGGTTGTTGTGCTTCTATGAGTGGTTGCTGTGCTGTTGATCCGAATCAGAAGAGTCAGCCTTTACGTCCCTGTGATACTCTGGTCTTTAGATATGACTTGAGACTCCTTCAGGCTGTGGGATTTTTCACCCGGTTATCTTTTTCAGCATACAAAAATAGTTTAAAAGTAATAGCAAGCACTTTTAAAGTATACTAATCCACCCACCATCTTAATTTAAAGTCAACTAGTTTGCAGAAATGAAGTATTTAATTTCTTACCTTTTCTAAGGAACCATCATTTCAAGAATGTCCCGGCGGAGGAAAGCTGAGTCCCGTATCCAGAGGCGGTGTGACCTCAGCACACTGGAAGATAAAGCAGGAACACGAAACACTGAGAGGTGCTTGAGTTCCCGTCTTCACACACAGTGCCTGACATCAGCAGACGCAGCCCTCTGTGGTCACACACACACAGCGTCTCTCTCACTAGGACCAGACCATAGGAAAGCAGTTTTGGGTGAAGGGAGGTGTTTCCTGTCAGAGGGGAAAATAGAGTCAGGGAGGGGTGCGCGACAGGAGAGTTTACACCCTCAGGACGGCAGTGAGATCCAGGCCACATTTCACACCCGCTGGTCCAGATCATTGTAAACCTCTTCTTCACGTCCACACATGTTTGGATCTGTGTGTGTGTGTGGGTGTGTAAACCACAGTAAAAAACACAACTTGTTTTCTTTAATCTCAGACAGACTATTGATGCTTTGCTGAATGAAGTGAGTATAGTTTAAATGAATGGTCTAGTATAGTCATTTACACTCTAAACAGTGGCCTCAGATTAGAAATGTTCTGATTCCAAGGACATAAAATATGACAATCCCCTCGTGAAAGTCAGTTATATGACTTAAGCGCCTAATAGACAATAGCAGTATGAAATTATGAAGACAACTTTAAAAAAGAAAGAAAGAAATGGTATTTTTTGTTTATGTTGTACTAAAGTCAAAATCTATTTAAATAAGATGCTTTTCACAATAAATATTGGTCCAATCAGTTCTAAACAAATACCATAAAATCATGCATTCCATATACATTATATATGGTATGCATTATTTTATATATATATATATATATATATATATTATAAGGTTTTTGATGAAAACATTCCAGGATTTTCTCCATATAATGGACTTCAATGGGAACCAAACGGTTCAAGGTCCAAATAAGTTTCAGTGCAGCTTCAAAGGGCTTTAAACGACACCAGACGATGAATAAGGGTCTTATCTAGGACTCTTGAAATAATACAAATCATGCATTTATTTGGGGCTGCCCTTTCACAGTTAATTGGCAGATAATCACCAGTATATATCATGAACAGTAAAAAAGAAATAAAACACAAAGAACGTTTTTAAATTCTCACACTGCCATTGTCTGACTGTTAATGATTTGTCTGTGCAGAGGTGAACATGGAAGTGAGCCATTCGATTCGTGACTCGAAAAAAAGATTTGTTCATTTTGATGAACGAGTTCGAACAGGAGAGTAACGAACGCACATCACAGAACAGAGCAATGTGAGCATTTGTGCTTAGAAAACTTAAACTTTTTTACGTATTTTTGAAATGAGCGATCGTTTCGCTAGATAAGACCCTCATTCATCGTCTGGTGTCGTTTAAAGCCATTTGAAGCTGCACTGAAACTCTCATTTGGACCTTGAACCGTTTGGACCCATGAAGTCCATTATATGGAGAAAATCCTGGAATGTTTTAATCAAAAACCTTAATTTCTTTTCGACTGAAGAAAGAAAGACAAGGACATCTTGGATGACGTGGGGGTGAGTAAATTATCAGCACAAGTTTTTTTGTTTTTTTTTAAAAAAGTGAACTACCCCTTTAATTTAAAATTAAAATCAACAAAACACAACTGATTTAAAAAAATAATAATAATATTGTAAACGACCATGGCCTGTTCAATTTTCCTCAGAAAAAGTTCTTACGGTGTTTACATTTACAAAGGGAGCCAAAACAACATGCAGAGCTCAAAAGTAATAGCAAATGTAAAACTCAAACCAGACTCTTTCTGTTTCTGTTTGTGTTTCAACATTCAAACACTCGTGCACTGAATGATATCTCTCAGCCAGCGTGTGCAGGCTTGAACAAGGCCGACCGCCCGGCATCTGGGACAGGCCACGTCTAACGAGAGAGAGAGAGAGAGATCTGTCAGTTGAGGGTTAACCCTGTGGGGTGGAACAGAACAGGAAATGTAGAGAAATGCAGTGGGCACAGGAGCTCAGCTTCATGCTAATGCAGGACTAAAAGAGCTCGTTGTGTTCTCCATGGTGTTCCCTCCCGTCCAACGAGAGTCACGCACCTGAAGCCACTAAACCGTGCGTCGTCCCTAGCCTAGCAACAACCAATGAAAACCTTCGATCTTTGACGGTACAATGAGCCATGCTCTTCAGATAAGTGTTTGTCGAATCTGACAGATATGAAACGATATAACCTTTCTGCCCCCCCTGTTCACAGCTACACAAATACCACTTTGACGATTCGAAAAGTTCATAATAGATCCATAACGAATCCATATGAATTGAGTGGTATAGTCAAATTTTCTGAAGAGACACGATCACTTTATATGATGAGGCATTCATCAATTATTACATCGGGTGTGGTAATAGATACCTGAAGCGTGTTCACCTGAGGTTCATTCTAGTTACACAGCACCTTTGAGGCACTTTTCCCGTCGTAAAAGACAAAGGGTAGCTTTTTCCTGTTTAACACACTGCAATCAAGCTTTATTTGGTAGTCACACAATCCAAGTAGTAAAAATCAACACTTTAAAAAAATGATATTTCCATAATTGGATTCAAATTTTATAATGGGCAACATGTCATTTTGCATGTTGTGTAATGTTTTTGTTTACCAGAATACTCCTGTTTTCCTGTGACTGTGTGTTGTCCGAACAGGAATGAGGTTTATGAGTCATTTCAAAGATGACGATTATGTGGTCACCCAAAAATTCCTGCATCCTCATAAGAAATGGCAAAACGCATGTATTCTGAAAGCAAAATAATATTTAAAACAAACCTCTCGCCACATTGACCTCAAGCTGAGACAAAAACAGACGAATAAGGAAACTTAGGAGACAAAAGCATTCCTTCTGATTTTAGTCTGATCTAAAGGCTCAAATTTATTTGATAGCTCATTTTACACAACTTTAGGTTAAAGTACATTTACTTTTACAATAACTTCCCAAGTTACATGATTCCTCTTATGTCCAGTCATGATCTCATCAAAAACTCCTTATATTTTACCACAAATTAAAAAAAAGTTCACACAAACATTCATTACTCTGCAAACAGTGTGTTGAATTGGGCTTTAAAGTACAAATATTTGCATATGTAAACTCTATAAACTTAATCATAAGTGTACTTGTAGTAAAAAGGTATTGACATCAGCATTAAGAATAACACAGTAATCAGAGGCGTTGTCTAATCAAACAAAACGTCAAGTTAGAGATCTCATCAATCAATGGTTATTTCATCACATTTATCCGTTTATTAATTTTCAAACCACCAGAGCAGTACAAAGTAAACAGAAATCACTTTTCCCACACCGTTCCTTGAGAACACAAACAGAACTATTTCAGTTACAAACTAGCAACAATGTACACACTACTTTTTGCTTCACGGCTGCATTACAAATAATAGTGCGCTTTCCAAAAACAATACATTCGCAAGACAAACATAAATCTCACACATAAGCTATTTTTTCTTCGAGTATTCTTTCCGTCCACCACCTGCTCCAAAGTTTCGCACGCGGTGTATTTTGGAGAGCTGGGACTCTATTGTCTCTTGAATGTTCATGTGGTCTGGGATGTGGACGTAGCGCACGTTTCGGCCAGTGACAAACAGGTCATCCATACTGGACATATGTCCACGTCTGTCCCGGTACAAAACCTTCTCCAGCCGGATGTTCATGAAAGCGTCCACGTTAATAACGCGTCCCCTGGCTGTGCTCTCGTCTCGCAGGTCAACGGTGGTCACCTGGCCATGCAGACCCTGCAGGAGAATCACCAGGCTGTTCTCGGCGATGGTGCGTTCACGAATCGAATGGCTCACTTCCATGTTCACCTCTGCACAGATAAATCATTAACAGTCAGACAATGGCAGTGTGAGAATTTAAAAACGTTCTTTGTGTTTTATTTCTTTTTTACTGTTCATGATATATACTGGTGATTATCTGCCAATTAACTGTGAAAGGGCAGCCCCACAATAAATGCATGATTTGTATTATTACACCACCTCCAGCCACACACTTAACATTTCTATTTATGTGTTTTTGAGCATGTGCACACATGCACATAAGGACAATTACAGGCTTCTGAGATGCTCTGCTCATAGACAAACCACATATAGCGCCTTATTAAATGTTTGATGGAAAATATGAAAATTAGCTTTGTTGTCAAGCAATTGGAAATGCAGAATGAAAAATTCTGTAAACTAATTATATTTTTAAATTAATTATATTTTTTGGATTGCATATATAAAATATCAAATAGATACTGTTGTTTACAGATAGTGTTGTTCAGATAGTGTTGATCTTTTTTTTAAATTAACGTTAAAATTAAGTATCTCAGTAGTGATTAGTATCTTTTCACTTTCACTAACAACAATAAGATTGCAATTGCGGTCTGATTCTAGTAGCAATAACAGTGACAAGTTGCAAAGATAAACTAATAATGACTAAAGTTAACTGAATACACTAGTCACTATTCATTATCTAATGAAGTAACGTGACCATTTAACGAATAGTAGTAGTGAAATTGAAAACGATACTGGTCGCCAATAATGAAAAGACGACAACAAATATTTAACTTTCCTTCAACTAACGTCACATTTAAGTAAAGTAAAGATATAGAATGCGATCAGTGAGGAAATATTTACTATGATCATTTAACTCTCACATAATCCAGGGCCACTCATATATGTCTCTTGAAGTAAAAATACTCGTTTGATTACCTTACTTTATGTTGTCTAACATACTCAAAACATCATGTTTACATCCTAAAGGTTTCGAGCTCCGCGCTTCGTCGCAGAGGAGAGTGACGTCATCAAGACGCACCGGTTGAAATCATTCGCGCTCCCTCTAGCGACTCGAGTCGAGATGGTTGGATAAACATCAAAGGTTATTCTTTTTTTCAGTGAATATTTATCTCGGTTTATTCGTAAAGTTAAATCGGGTGTTTTCTCCGTTGTTGTTCAAGAAAAAAAAAGTCAATTCATTTAACACATTGACTGGTGTGGCGGGGCATGTTGTCACACTGACATCTGCTGAGAATCTCTTTGTTTTTAACATTTAAAATACTGTCTAAAGTTAAAAAGCACCCACAGATACCTGTATTTAACATGTATCAATTGGTGTGTAAGCTACATTTGACAACAGCAATTATGAAAAGTAGTTAATAATTGCTTTAAACACAACATTCAAAACTTTGGCAAATTGCCCCGAACTAAAATCTAATCCTGAGAACACAGTTCACAAATTAAATCAAATATAATTTGATTAATTAAATCAATTAATACGTCCTTGACAGTTGTCTAAATTTATGCATGTGTGGTTTCCTTTTTTTTACCCAAAACCTATAGGTTTTTCTTAGATTTTGTGATACACATATTGTAATCACAAATGAAACAGAACCGTAGTACCAGAAAAACAGGTTCCAATGAGATTTGAATAAATAACAGCAGGAAATCATAGTTTTTCTGTCAGCAGAATGAAACACATTTTGTTCCAGTGAATTCTTGACTTTTGTTTTGCTTTAAAAAACTAAGCTAGTTGACAGATGAATAAGTTATCGTGGGGCGTGCAAGTACAAGGTGTGAAAACATAAATCAATTGAACTGACATTTTAGAGGTTTTTTTTCACAAGAGAGCAATTTCCCTGTTGAACACGTTCCCCAGAAGAGATTTTGTCAGATCTGTCAGTTTCAGGAGAAATTTTTCAACAAATTTGCCCTTTAGCCTAAAGTGCAAAAAGTTGAAAACACGTTGCATTATGCATTTCATTTTATTTAAGCTTTTATTTAAACACAGTACAATTTTGCTTCCAGATTCTGAATGTATCTATTCCAGGCATTTTAAATCTCCCATTTATTTTTATGACCTATCAGACCTACCTCATGCATCCTGACTCATGGCCTTCAGCGCTTGCCCTTCAGAGCTCATCCATCATGGCCAGCAAGTCATCTCCCTTGTTCCCAGATCCCTCTGTCCGGCTTCCCTCTTCATCAAATTCTCCTGCTATGCGTGCAAGCTCAGTGCTGGCCAGCTGATCCTGGAATACAAAGGTAAACACTCAGGAAAACATGGAATAAGTAAGAACTGATTTTTCCCCCCTTTTATTTCTATTATGCAATTTACTGAAGTTCAGTAATAATAAAAGGACTGTATAGATGTTACTTATGTAAACAAAATAATAATAAAAATACATATTTTAATTTGGTCTCTTTACAGTAGTATTGATGTGGTTCAAGATTACAACAAAACCAGCTTGGAATTTGAATGAGATGAATATAAAATGTTGGCATGTACTTTTAAAGTAATTTAAACTAAAACAAACTCATAAAACATTCCTGAATAACAGGAACAAATGTGTGGTTGCTTTTTTTTTTGGTGTTACCCATTTGAATGGAATGAAAACGCTCTATAATGCAAGCTTGCCCTGAAGCAACACTGGTGTTTATTAGCATACGATAACAGATTTTACTAGAAGCATAGGACATTACCAGCCCTGGGCAACGTAATAAAGCAAAAAGAGGACATGAGCTGAGCAGTTTTGTGAAGTGCCTTGACTAATCACCTGTGTGACTTGTATGTCCATGACTCTAGATGACGGATGCTCTATTCCTTCAGAAATTCCACTGAAAAAGGTAGAGAAAAGGTTAGTCACAAACATTTTAACCTGTTATTTTGAATCAGTCCTTCAATTAAACGATATTTTAAAACAACAGTTCACCTTTATTACTCTTTGCAACACAAAATTAGATGTTGAAAATGCTTTTATCCACACACACACACACAGTATTTATAAAGGACAAAGTATCAGCCATGCCTCTGAGGTTGTGTGTGGACGTGGCAGGATTATGTGTGGATTAGTTATGCTTACATCCCCTCCTCCTCCTCCTCTTGATCTAGGGTCCACAGGTTGACTCTGAAACCAGCGTCCACATTCAAAAGTCTCTGCACCTCCATTCCACCCATCAGTTTAGCGAGCAGATTGAGTTCCTCTGTTGCCAGAGGATTGGGAGTTGTGTCTGCCTGTCCAGATATTCACACAAACACACAATGACCTCCAGAGAGCCTTGTGTTGCTAAGATACCACTTCATATGACTGATATAACTTTAGTATGAAACATAAGCCTTAGCAGTGTTCTTTTCTCCCCTCAGCATGAGCAGTGCTGTTGGAATGTCCCATGATGCCTGCAGTGAGGGTGTACCTGCTTTAGTTTGCCTCTGCTGTTCGAGGAGCTTGATGGCTTCATGTCTTCAGGTGAGGGTGTGCTGTACCTGTGCCGATGATTCAAAGATTCACATGAGCGGGAATTAAGGAATATGTTTTAGCATGATAAAACCACAAATGGAAGAGGTTATTCAGTCTTCAGAGTCACATGATCCTTCAAAAATAATTTTATTTGATAAGATTTGCTGGCCCATATTGAATTAACTGGGCTAGTTAAGTGCTATCAAAGTGTCTCACGAGCCAGAGCGATGAGAGAGGTGTGTGTCAACTCGTCTTAGTTAAGGGAATAACATAGTTTAATATGAAAAAACGGTGGAGAAATATAAGAAATATTTATTATTATCATTATTAATATCAATGTTGAAAACAGTTGTGCTGCTTCATTTTTTGTGTGGAGACTGTGATTTTTTGCCCAGTTTTTTTTTTTTTTTTTGATGAATCGAACGTTCAAAAGAACAGCATTTTAATTGAAATATATATATATTTTTGTGACAATGAGTGACAAGTCTTCACGGTCACTGTTTTGATTAATTTAATAAATAAAAGTATATATATATATTTTTAATTACCTCAAACTTTTAGTTTTAGTGTTATTATATAGTATTATTTTTAGTGTATATTATACTCACATATATTGGGTACATAAACATATTTTTTATATATAAATTTGATTTTTAAAAGTAAATTTTTTTTGCTATATTATATTAATTTGTATTATAACAAACAATTATCTCTATAAAATAACATTGTAAATAAATATTCTTTTTTTACATTTATTTAAATGTCTATAATATATAACAAAATATTTATTATATTTTATTGTAATTACTTTTATTATCTATATTTATTATTATTATTTACTAGGGCTGTCAAACGATTAATCGCGATTAATCGCATCCAAAATAAAAGTTTGTGTTTACATAATATATATGGGTGCACTGTGTATAATTATTTTGTATATATATATATATATATATATATATATACACACACATGCATGTATATTTAAATATTTATATTATATATCATATAAATTATATATAAATCTATACACATTATATACATTAAAATATTTCTTAAATGTATACAAGCATGTGTGTATTAATATATACAAAATAATTATACACAGTGCACCCACATATATTATGTGAACACAAACTTTTATTTTGGATGTGATTAATCGCGATTAATCGCTTGACAGCCCTATTATTTACGTATGTTTACAAATAATAATATTTAATGTTGAAATTTTAAAAAGCATTTATAATTCCTACTGACTAATTTTCACATTTACATGTTGGTGCCCAGAAGTGTGACCCTGTCTCCGGAGAGGTCAAGCGACCCCTGGCATATAGCACTTGTGTAGCTTCCTCCACTGGGGAACCTTGACCTCCTCACCTCGCGCCCTTTAGCATTAAACCACCTGCATGACAAGAGTGCCAAATGAGTGTATGTCTGTAAGGATGTGATCATATTCCCATGAAACCTCTTGTGTTTTCCAGTCAAAACTACTGATGAAGAACTAAAGTAAAGAATATAAGGAGCCTGCCTGTGACCTCTGACCTTTACCTGATTAAACCAGGAACCTCAAACCCGTGAGGTACCGGCCCTGAGGTCTGCAGCACAAAATGCCCGTTAGGGTTCTGGGTTTTTTCTTTCAAGAAAATTGAGATCTGGGAATGAAAAATTAAATCAGTTTGCGTGACTACAACTACAACTAACAGTATGCTTGAATGCTCTAACAAAAAAATGCCATGCCTTATTATCGATTTACATACAGCTGTATGATCTGGCAGCATTTCAACCACTTATAACAATAAGCTTTCACATAAGTAAATAGCTCACCCTGATTTGCATATCTTGAAAGAGAACCAGTAGCGTATGTCGGATGAGTTGAAACTCACCATCGGATAAGGGTGTGTATACCTTAGAAAGAGGTGCTTTTTCATTTTCAAGTATGCACTAGAAATAACAATAATCTTCTTGGCACAGAAAAAAATATTCTTGGCACAGTGAATTACATCACAACAACAACAGATTTTAAAGCGATCCATTTATTTATTTTTTCACATTATGAAACTAGATGTTTAGAAGAAGTGTAGAAGTTGTGAGATATAATCATACAATTGCAAGAAAAAAAGTCAGAATTGTCAAATAAAAAGTCACATTTTTTCTTTTATTTCATAACAGAAACAAGCGTCCACAGTTAGAAACTAAGTGCAAACTAGTTGTTGGTGACAGCAGTGCACACTTACCTCGATAAGCTGCCGCTGGGCTTCGTTGATCTGGTTAACCAGGCTGGGACTGTCCTTAACCAGTTCCTTGATGGTGTCCGTGTGGTTGAAGGTGATGAGAAGTAAATCTTGTGGACGTGGACACAGAACGATCTGATACTTAAAGGCCATAGTCATCAAATCATACAGCTACAATCAAGACAACAACACAAATTCAAAACAGGTAATCAGTATTAAATATAATCCATGCTATAAAATGTGCTTTTGTGCTTCAAATGATTTGTTGAGATATTATTGAATGTGCCTGACTACATTTAAGTCATTTTTCTGGGTTGGAACAAACAGAAATAACAGCATTCTACAGTTACAAAAC